AGATAGATAGACAGACAGACAGACAGACAGACAGACAGACAGACAGATATAGATATAGATATAGATATAGATATAGATATAGATATAGATATAGATATAGATATAGATATAGATATAGATATGAAATAGACTATATGATTGGAAGCAAAAAGTGAAGTTGTATTCTCTCTGTAAAGCAGCGACCCTGTGCAGACTGTGATATAATGATGAACTTGTTAATAGCAGAAATGAGAACGAAGTTGAAGGACAGTAAAATGAACATGATACCAAAATATGCTTTAATGAACAACTTGAAGATCATACAAAGAACAGATTTGCATTGCAGGACTCAAGTGACCATGAAACAGAAGAATTATGGATTGATAAATTATTGATATATTGGGAAGAATGCAAAAGGGATATTCTGTAGCCAAAGGGAAAGAAAAGCCTTGATAGATTGTTGAGGAAATTCTTAAAATTGCTAACAAGAGGTGAGAAGCAAAAATAAATGGAGATAAAAATAGAGCAATTTTTTAGACACTTGCGTGTAGGGACAAAAAGAGCTATTATAATAAGCTTGGCAAAGAAATAAAGAAATAGAGGAAACAACAACAAAATAATAATGGAAAACAAGATATGTATAAGATCCATGAAACCAAAGGAAAGTGTAAACCAAGACTAGAGATGCTGAAAAATCAGCAGGAGAATATATTATCTGATCTGAATAAAATAAAGGGAAGATGGAAATAACATTCAGAAGAACTTATAAAAGAATGAAAGAATGATATATTTGATGGAAACATGCAATTGTAGAAAGGTAACTGAAAGCTGCTTTTAAAGCAAGTGGAAGAAATAAACCACCAGAAGTATATGGGATACCAATAGATCTATTTCAGCCTACAGAGACTAAATCTATCAAGATGCTAATATGCTAGGAAATATGTAAAATAAACATAAATGTAAATTTAGACACACCCCAGTTCCAAAGACAGAAAATACCAAAGATTGCAGTAACTTCAGCACAATCACATTAATTTCCCATGGAAGTAAAGAAATGCTCAAACTTTTACAACAAAGACTTCTCTAACATATATGGAGCAAGAAATTCCTGGTGTTCAGAAAAGGAAGAGGCACTGTAGGTCATATGACTGTACATGACTGTATCAAAGATCTCTGAAAAAAAAATGTGGTGTTCAAGCTGGGTTCAGAAAAGGAAGAGGCACTGTAGGTACATGACTGTACCAAAGATCTCTGGAAAAAAAAAAAACCAGGGTGTTTGTGCACTGGAAAGGGTCACTTTATTGGGATCAGTATCTTTTAAAGTGACCCTTTCATCTGCTATGGAATCATTCTAGCCTGACCCCAAAAAGTCAAAGCCCTATGGCTGAACTAAAAAGGTCCTGCTTGTCAAAGATTAGGGTCAGGCTGGGGTGCATTTCCCTGTGTGTTATGTGATTACCAGGAAATAGATTGCAGTCCAAATTGCAGTCTATTTCCTTATGTGATCACACCCTCAGTTTGTGTTTTATAGATTACTGTAAACCGTAGACTATCCACAGAAGTCTACTGTTGGAACAAAATAGAGAGAGATAAAATGGTTTCTTATAGAAATACATGTCAGACAAGTGTGTATTTTACCTCTTCTTTCTATGCACTGAGATCCTGCTCGAGGTCCTTTCATAAGCAGTTGTTTGGCCACACTGGAAATCAGGATGCTGAATTAAATCAGGGATGGAATGATGTAGCCTATAGATCACATGTATCATGGAAGCCTTTTAGCAGCCCCAATATCCCAGGCCTCTCTGAATATGTTCCAGTTACTCCTGATGGGGAAAAAATAAAACAGAAATTGAAGGCCCATGGTGTCCTTCAAGAATTTTGATATCTGTTCTAAACAAAGTTCAACTCTTCTGTCAACACATCTTTTAAAAGTTTTTTTAAATAATCTTTTTAGAAAACTGAAAGGAGATTTTTGACCAATTCATTTTCTTCAGTCTTTTCATGGGAGAAGACATTGTGGTCCCTGGTGGGTCTCAGATTTTGGAAATTGGCCCTGGCTCCATGGAGTTGCCCATCTCTGAATTGATGGAGCTTTCTTTTGATCTAGGATGCCTTTTCTTATGTCCTTATGATACTATCTAGCAGGTACAGGTACAAGACGTAGTGTCTTTAAAACTAAACTAGATGTCTGATTCTTGTCCAGAGTCTCATTTATTTTTCCAGCAGTTCCAAATCTTCATTCCTGAGATGACTGTCAGCACAGAAATGTAAACAGCAGGATATGTTGCTTGGGGCCAATGTAGTATGCCCATCCAAGCTGTGAAAAGATCTTTTATGGAATCAAGAGGAAGTTCAATTAAGCAACAGCCTCCTTCAAGGTGGACATGTAACAAGGTTGAGAAGGCTGGGCATTGGTAACATTACCTCTGTGGTCTCTTTGCTAGCTTGAGTATGGCTACTCTACGTTGATATTCTTTTCACTGCATGACTGACAGTTCATATAAAACTGGCATGGTCACCTTTCATGGCTTTGCAAACATCAGCCCCATTGATAGCAACATTTTGCTCATATTTTACCAACACTCACCTCTGAGGGATCAGCTGGAAGGACATTACAGCAATTAGTTTTATGCTAAAATGTATGAATGAAATCACTGAAGACAGCCACTCAAGATAATTGCAAATCCACATGATTTTTCCATGGTGCTCCTCTGAGCATTGCAGATCCAGTGATGCCAGGTATAATAGTAGCTGTCTTAGCCTGGAAATAACATTCCTCCCCTCTCTTTCTTTTGCTAGCTGTCTAACATTTAGGAACTGCTAGGGAGGTACGCGGCATCTGACTTCCTTCTAAGACTTTATGAGCTTGTCTCTGTCCACACTTTATAGGCATTGTGGCTAGACACCGCACCCTGGAAACCTCACATAAAACTGTGGACACATCTGGAGGAAAAAGAGCACATTTGAAAAGTGCACATAGAAAAGTATACATATTTCTTTATTTAAAACAACAACAACAGGAGAGAACAATAAAACCTGGCAAAGACCAGAAATAAGGGCAAGAAAGGAAGGAAGCCCAAAGATACGGATGTTATAATATGCATGTTCATAGTACTGCTCACCAAAATGGCTTCAGGCTGAATATGTCTGTCCTGTTTTCGTGGTTAAGCAGGACTTTTCTTCCCCCTACCTTATGAACAACCAGAAACATCACTGGAAGGCAAAAATGGGCCTGCTTGCTCTTCAAAAGCATGTCATGTGCCATTAAGTTGGAGCCGATATAATGATCCTAATATAGCCTTCAGGGTAAGTGGGGTGTTTAAGAACTGGTCACTGTGTTCATTGCTCACCCATCCCCTGTGAATTTGGTTGGCCAAGCAGGGATATGAAGCCAGATCTCCTGACTCCATCACCCTCAAAAAATAGGAATGAACAAATCTGTCCATGTGGGTTTTTCCTAGATTTTAATTTTTTCAAAGGTATCTTCACTCCAAAGTATATCTTCAACCAAAACTTAGTATCTAGAATGAAAAGTCTGCAGCTCACATAAGTTTATATCAGATTTCAGCAATGGCCAACGAGAGTAGGCCTATTGAATCAATGGAATGTAGTACATAGATGTTGACTCACCACCAGATCATCACAGGTTCAATGTGCCTACACTATTTTGGCAAAGACCAGAAATAAGGGCAAGAAAGAAAGGAAGCCCAAAGATATGGATGCCATCTTCAGAGACAGTAGTTTACCACTGACTGCCAGCCATTATTTGTTAGTTTTTTTAAGCTGCTGCTAGACTTGATGCCGCTTTTGCAACATCAAACTAATATGGCCGCTTCCCCATACCCAGAAATAAATCACAGCCTTTCTCTCCTTTTCGACTGATTCAGCATAGTAATAATGACCACAACGTATGGCCATGGCTAGTAACTCAGATCCCTTTGAAAAGGCTCTGACAAGCCAGACAGCTCTCTGCAGGACGGTTAGCCATGAAACTAAAGAGAATCTCCATGTTCAAAGGTGCATTCTCCCAAAACCAGATGCAGGGATGAAGCTATGGGAGATGGCCATCACCTGCAAGTATGTGAGCTTCCCAGAAGCAGCTGGCAAACTGGAAGCAATGGGGTTCAAGGGGTTTTAAAAACTCAAAAATAGAATCTGATCACTTGTTTCAGCTGCTGAGCTGTGAATAGATTGTTTCAACCAGAGGCAAGCAAAGTCTGACTAATAAGTGGCATCCTAAGGCTGTCTGTCTGTCTGTCTGTCTGCCTGCCTGTCTGCTCACAGCCCTCCCACAGACTCCATTCTTGGGGCAAAAAAACACAATAGAAATGAAAAAAGTGAACTGCTGGTCCTGAAACTCTCTGGGAATGAGAATTCCTCTTTTAAATAGGTCATCATCATTATCATCATTCCTGTCCCTCCCCCCCCCCACAGTGTTTAACACAGAAAACATTTCCAAAACCAAAAGTGAACTCTTTTTTCAGAGAGGGAAAATTTGAGGGGGCTATGAATACCTCTAGCATCTCTAGGTAATGCGTTCCAATGTTGTACTGCTCTAAGACATTTTTTTTCTGATATTCAGCCTAAATCTGGCTTCCTGTAGCATGAGCCCATTATTACATGTCCAGCATTCTGAGACAATCAACTTGGTGCAGCTGATTGTAGAAGTGTTGGGAAGGGCCTCCGTATCCTTGCCAATTAGCCACGTTAGGTTATTGAAACGTCAACACCAAGAAAATTCTGCCCACAGATCAGAAGTGCATACATAGCTGTTCCTGGGAGGAACAAAAAGTTGTAACTTTCTGAACAGTTTGTTGAATTGTAACTGCATATGGAAGGGTGGCATTAGCCAGTATGGTCTTGCTCTGTGCCACATTCGCCATTACTTTGATATAACAAGTAGCACATTCTGTGGTCATTTTGTTCAAATGCCTACCACTGTTTTCTGAAAAGAAAACAATTTCTGCTACATGCTTAAAAAAAACCATTGAAGTTCATTCTGCCAGGTTTTTTTAGAAGACACATGACCTTTAACATCCTTATTTTACATGGGAAATCTTTCCTAACATCTGGCTACACATGCTCATGGAAGTCTTTAGTAGCTATTGCCCAAACTTGTCAGGGAAACTAATGAGTCTTACTGTAATGACTGGGGCTTACTTCTGAGAAAGATTTTAGATGACAACTTCATCCTTATGACAGGAATAAGTATCTTTGAACAAACACATAGAGAAAAGGAAGTGGGGGGAAGGAGGGAGAGGAAGAGAAAGGCAGTGACCAGGTTCAATCTTCAGAAAACAGAAAAGATCTCCAGTACTGTATATAGTTATGCACAACATGATGTGAAAACAGCTAGTGAGAAAGATACAAGTACACAAACGAGCAGCAGCTTCCTGGTCCCCATGGAGTTATATGGAGAAATCTGTTAGATGATAGTGATCTGTTAAATTATGAGATGGGAGACCATTTAGGGGAGGTTTCATTATGGATGTTCTCTCTTTTTTTCTTCATATCTCTCTCATTGTTCTTGTTTGTATTTGTCTATATTTGTCTTTTATATAATCATGTAATAAATTATATACAAGTACAGCAACTGGATGAAAATCTGGCAACCAGAAATGAGTTTTTTTTTTTCTTAGCCAGACAGGTGTTTGGTGGTTCCCTGTCTTGCTTCCTTCAGGGGGCGCCCACTTAGAAGCAGCTTCCATGCCGCCATCTCCTCTGGGCACTGCCTCTTAGTGGGCACCCCCTGGATGAGGTAGGGCAGGGAAGCTCCGAAGTCCTGTTGTGCCAGAAAATCAAACTGGCACAAACTGCTGGTTTGATGGTTCATGTTCATCTCTACTGGCAAGCCTAGAGCTCTCTTTAGCATGGATGCAGGTCTTAGAAGAATGAGGCCCAAATTCAAAAGCTTGCCCAACCCTGGGTAAAAACTGGGGTCATCTGTCATAATTTTGGGTGCCCTAGTTCTGTGCAAAGCCTAAATATTCAAACCCAAATAGAATATCCCGAACAGTAGGATAATCAGCCACAGCACAAAGAGGTCCCCCCCCCCGTTCAAGCCCTTGCAAACTATTTCCAATTTGCCCTTTAAAAACCATCTAGAACTAATTTCCCTTCCCATTTCAAAGCAGAGCAAAAGGGGAAATCTTTATCTTCCCGGTTTCCTCAAAGCTCACTTTCCTGCTTGTTGCCTTCCGCCGGTAAACTCTGGAATTCGCTTTCTGCTTTGCAAGGAAATAGCGGGAGCACAAAGTGGCATCTTTGCAGATGGAGTACAAAAATGCAATCAGACGCTTCCAGATATGCCAGGAGATACAGGGGACAGCAATGAATGGCATTACAGTCAATGGTTATTTTTCGTTTCCCTTTTTTCCCCCTTCACTTTTTTCTTTTTGGCATTTCTGTAGCTTTTGTCTCCCAGTGAAAAATGAAAGGAAACTTTTGACTTCAGAATAGTTTCCTTTGAGGGAGGTGCCCTTGGAGAGGGGAGGGCAGGAACAATCTGCCAGGAATGTACAACTAGTTGATGTGATTTAGAAATAATGCAACTGGCACATTTTCCATCACCACCCCATTACTGATTTAAGTGGTGCTCAAGATTGGTACTTTCCGTGAGAGAGACCACGTTGAAGGCTGTTTTCTTTGCTATTCTGTCTTCCAGGAAAGTGATGGAACATAGTTGTCCTAAGCTGAATGGGTCTGTGTGTGAGAGAGAACTTACCTTAATATTCCAGCTCTCCAAACAAGCATCTTTAAACAAACAAGCTTTCTTTTTTGCCCCTTCAGCAACAAGTTCAGTTTTATGGTGCATTTTGCCACATAATGAATCTTTTGATTTGTCCCAGACCTGAAACATGTAAAATAATAGGTTCTTACTGATTGCAAAACCTGATTCAGCTCCATAAAAGCTCCAGGACATTAGAGATGATTTAAGTGAGTTATTGAAAGCAGTATTGTTTGACTACCTTTGCAGAAAGTGGGGTGGGGGAAATACCAGCCATACACATTTTTAAAGGAATTAAATTGTGAGATGATATCGTGCAAGCTGGATGCATACCTCAGTGAGTTAGGCATCTGGTTGCAGAGCCAGAAGTGGGAAGTTTGGTCCTTCTCTCCTCCTGCCCCTCATATCTCCTGTAGAGCCAGCCTGTGTAGACTTGGGCAAGCTGCATTGTCCAATCGAACAGAATGGTAAACCAGTTCTGAGTATTATCTACTAGATATGGGCATGAACCAGAAAAATGATGAATCAGGGAGGTTCGTGGGTAGCCACAAACCATGAACCACCCCCGAACCCCAGAAAAACAAATTGGTTCATGATTCATTTTCCTGGTTCGTGCCTGGGAGGAGGGGAACCTAATGCCCTTGCCCTCTTCTCTCTACCCCCATCGACTCCCTACCTTGCCCTGCCATCTCCTCCTCATCCTCCACCGTGGCTACCATCTTTAGAGATAGCCAGCATGCTCCTGAAAGCCATGCTACTGTCTCTGAAGATGGCAGTGGTGGGGAAGGAAGAAGAGGAGGTGGCAGAACCGTAGCAAAAGAAAGCCCCGGGGAGAAAAAAGTTCAGCACTTTGTTTCATTTCTGCAGAACAGGATCCACGAACCAAACCACAAACTGACCCAGGCTAGTTTGGTTCACACCCATCTTTACTGTCTATCTAGAAATCCTAGAAAGTGTTACCATAAATCAGAATCAACTTGAAGTCATGCAATTATTATGATAATGATATTTTGCATATTATCATTGATTGAAAAGGAGCTCTTCTAACATTCTTTCATAGGAACACAGGGATTTGTCGTATTCTGAGTATGTGCACTGGCCCACCTAGCCCAACATTATTATCACCATCTGGCAACATCTGTCCAAGTTTTCTGGCAGAGTCATTCCCAGCTGTGCTGGAGATGCCATGGGCTGAATCTGCAATCTTCTGCATACAAAACGTGGGTTCTGCCACAGAGCTAAATCTCATCTTTTCTTCCTTTATTTTTTTCTCAATAGTAAAGATAAATTTGGTTTCAACTGTTAAATAGGTTTTAAAAACAACACCAAATGACTACCGCCTTTATATTGTATGATCTTTTCTTTGGCAATCACATATCATAAGATCTGGTGGGTGAGATCTTCCACATGAACTGCTGGATAGTTTAACAGATTAGATATCTGGGAGCTCAATTCTCCATTGTGCCTCCATTGTGCTGGACATGATGATCCATAGGGTTCCTTCCAGCAGTTCTGTGATGATGATGATGATGCCTATCATTACTATTCACAATAAATATATTATGAGTTGTACTCTATATTTAGTGCCTTTTTTCCACCATCTTAGAACATATGAAACATCTGTATATTTTAACCTACTGTCTATTAATTTCTTGCTTGAAATGGCTTTCTAAGGTCTCAAGTTGAGGTCTTTCACAGTTGAGGTTGGGAACAAAGATAGATATCATGGACAATGATTACATCATCAGGTATCGGGGCCCAAAGAGGCCAAAATCCTCTTGCTTATCTATGCAAATAATATAACATTCAGAGGCAAATCTTAACACAAACTCCATAAGTGAATTGCCAGAAGTTAAGAAATACCTTTAACTGTATCTGTTCCATGCTGAGTTGAACAACTCACTATGCAACAGGTGCCATGACTTTCGCTGGACAAGACTGTACTTTTGTCTAAAATTTTTAGACTAAAAATTGAGGGTTGTCTTATACACGGAAGTAAGCTGAGGAGAGTACAAAAACAAGTGGAGGGGAAAGCAGGGATCAAATTGTTCCTGCAGGACTTTGATCCCTGCTTTCCCTTCCACTTGCTAAGCCCCACTTAGATTTCTTAATTTTGGGTTAGAAAAGTGGGGGTGTCTTATACATGGGGGCGTCTTATACACGGAAAAATGTGGTACTTGCTGTGAAGATTTCTTAACTTAAGCAATTCACTTCCAAAAGTTATGATGTTTGTGTTATTCTAGTATAACTAACCAAGAGGATTTGGACCATTGTGTCGTAGTGCTGTGTCTCCTCCTTCTTCACTGTCGGTTCAACCACCCTCTAGGTTTTGTCTTTTATTGTCACTTCACCTATCAATCTCATTCTGCTTTGACACTGCATTCTGTTGCTACAGCAAGTGGCAGCAAGTGTTTTTGTTCAAATGTTGACCTTTTTAACCCCTTAATCCCAAACAAATGTCAATGACTTGAAGAAGTGCCCTACCTAATCTGAGCACTGGGAGTTTCTCAAACCACACCTCTGTCTGCTCTGGTAATGTTCAAATACCACTGCTTCACCACATTTTGCAACTTTTTTTCCAAGATGTGGATAACAAGGCAACTCTTGCTTTCCATAGTTTATGATTAATAACTGTGTGCCACAACATCAATTCTGACTTTTCAGGGTTTTCTGAATAATTGTGTGCTATCAAGTCAGTTCTGACTTTTCAGGGTTTTATAGGCAAAAAATACTTGGAAGTGGTTTACTGTTCCTTTCTTCTTGGAACATCCAGACTGTGCAGCTTGCCTAAGGCCATACTGGTTGGCACTTCTTGGATGCTTCGGGGAAAATGAATTCCAAATCTCTGGCCCTGCAAACAGATTCCTAATTCACTGAGCTATCCAGCCCACTTGGTTTATGTGATTACATCACTCTAAATCTTGTCTGCTAATGCTGGCAATGAAAGATTAGCTGGACACTCATGTCTCTACTGCTATTGGACTGATATGCTCTCAGTGAAATCCCACAGCAGACAAATTGAATAACTTTACAGAAGTCAGTAATCTCTGCCTGGAGGCCATCCATCATTGTCCTAGTAAACCACAATAGAGCACAATTAATTAATCAATTATGGAAACTCCAGGTGGAGTTGTGGGGGAGAATAGACTCTGCTGCAGTGCTTTTAGCCAACTTTTCAAAAGAGTTACTCATGCAACAGGACTGCGAAGAAACAAAATGATTTCCAAAGTCAAGACCTTCCTATCCAAATCATTGCATTATCTATTATCTCTGTGACCATTATTGGTAATCTCTTTGAAAGCAGCAAAACACATTATAGGAACACTGTGGAAATCAATACCCTAGGCTGAGCATAGATTATGCAAGGCTATCAGAATGTAATGAATTAGAAAGCAGGTAATCATTACACTGTATCTGTTCTTAGTAAAGGTAGGCATGTTTTCTATCTGTAATCATATTTTCTTCTTTACTTTAGAGGGAAATGACAGGGTGTGAGTGTATGTGTATGAGTGTATATGTGTGAGGGTGCATGTTTTTCTTTAAGAGAATATATTTCAGAAGTTCAACATCCAAAGAATGTTCTAATAGGCAGAAAATACTCCCCTTTCTTTTTAACATCTAGAAGTTGTGAAGCAAGAATGGGTGATACCTTTTATTCGACCACTCTTACATTTGTGTAATATTGGGGACCACATGACCTATTCCTTGTTCTCCCTAAAAGTAATGATGTTCATCTTCTCTTGGCTCATTGTCTCATACAAGGATGCAGAACTTCAACATTCTTTTCCTCACTTGAGCAGATTGTGAGGAATGTCCTGGGACTCTCTTAGAGTCCTCATGCTAGTTTTTCATGAAAACAACTCTTCATGTTTTCATGCAACAATATGTGGATTTTCCCCACCGTAGGATGACTGCTGATTAATTTAGCCATTGGAAGAATGGGACAGTTTCTTCGTTTGTTTGTTTGTATTTTTCTAAATAACCAGTTTGCACTTTTGTGCTTGTGTGTGTGCTTTGGCTTCTCAAAGGGAAATGGCATTTTGGACAAATGACAAAGACCATGAAGGGAGGGAGAGAATTCTTTGTTTCACTGTCAGTTGGAGGAGAACAATCTCATGCATCTTTGAAATTCTTTGTCCAGCTGTGGCACCAAGTCAAGACACCCTAAATCAATGTGGATAAGATAGTGAGCAAGTATTCTTTTTGTTTCCACCCAAAAGCCGTACCACTCTGTCTTCATGAAAAGACAGACAAAGACAAATCAAGTCAAATATGAAAGGTCATACGTTTCTTGTGCAGAGGTGTGATGATTTGTGAAGCAGTTCTCCAACAGGGGTTCATCATTCAGAATTTTTGAACTACGCATCTCATAATTCTGCATTCCTGGAGTTCCACCTGACAGACTTACATTTAAATGTGGCTCACCTGGGAGAAAGGCCTTAGCTTGAAGGCTTTGTGACCTTTCTAGGCCTAGCTCTACCCAAGCTTCCTCTTCAGAAAGGAAGCTGCCCCAGTGCTACTTGGGAAAGCTAGGCACCGTTAGGCCACAAAGCCTTCAGGCTTATGGCCTTGTCCCAGGTAAACCGCATTTATGTGTCTGTCTTTTGGGTGGAACTCCCTGAATGAAGAATTATGGCACTTGTAATTCAAAATTTCTAAATCTATACTTTCCAAGCAGCTTTGCATCCACAGCCAGTGAAGCAGCAAAGACATGACAAAGTGTAGAAGAGCAAAGCTGTGTTTGCCATTCAGCCTGCAATTGTCCCTTTACCCCGGAATAAGACACGAGACAAATGTTATGGAATGAACATGGGCCATGCTTTATTAAATATTCAGATTTATCCTCAATTGAAAAAAGGAGATCCTGCTGTAGCACGGAATCAGGTTCTGCAGAGGGGCCTCAACGGACCCCTACCAAACAATGGGCAAGTCCCAAGCCCCAAGATCTCGCTGTTGTGAAGACAGTGAGAACTCAGCTGGCCCAAATTTGACCACCATGGGCAAGTCCCAAGCCCCAAGATCTTGCTGTTGTGAAGACAGTGAAAACCCAGCTGGCCCAAATTTGACCACTCCTGAACCTCAAGTCCCCTTCTTCTTGTTGACTGTTGGTCAAGCGAATCTTCTCCCCCAAGCACTGTAATTGCATGAACTGTAGCGCTGGGAGATCAAATGAGCTACACCTTACCTGTGTTTGTGAGGGGACTCATCGAAACCTGTTATATCTGCACTACCCACCTGTGTGACCAAATTTTATCACCTCTCATCATGCCAATGCACCTTGTCCAGTGTGGGATAGGCTAAAAATCCCCGCTTCCAAAGGCCAATCAGGATGCGGGTCAAAAATTCCTATCCAGCCCCAAACAGGCGACCAGTAAAACTCACCATTCAGGCTGGATGGGTGGGCTCCCCCTCCATTTGCAGTCCAAACCTAATTGCATTCCTCAAATGTGATGGATGGCATTATCTTATCACGAGATTCAGTTGCCATTCTGGCTGGCTTCTGGTAGGAGAATGGGGAGGAGAGACATCTTGCCCTTTCCCTCAGGTAATGAAATATCTTAGGTTGCCTCTGTCTGCATCATCTGTTGAAGAATAATGTTCCACCTGTGTGGATGCTGCAGAGAGCGGATGATTTCCTTTAACTTAGGAAACAATATGGCCTAATGAAAGAAAGAAAGACAGCCAGCCAGAAAGAAGTGACTAGATTGTTCCTGAAAATGGCCTCTTCTGACATGAAACAAGAGGAGAAGGATGGACAGTGTCATTGAAGCAACCAATATGAATTTGACACAACTCCGGGAGGCAGTGGAAGATAGGAGGGCCTGGCATGCTCTGGTCCATGGGGTCACGAAGAGTTGGACACGACTGAACGACTAAACAACGACAACATGAAACAGCTCCGGAGCAAAGTTTTGTTGTTAAGACTTCTAGGAGTGCAATTTATTATTCTTTCAGTTATGTTTTCCATTCTCTGTCTCTGTCTTACACACACATACACAAACACTTAATCAAGCAGACATAGCAAATACAGTTTGATCCCAGTAATTAAAGGAATTGTTTTCTCAAAGTATCAGCATACATCCTCTTAGATGGGGATCAGAAAATCTTCCTGTTTCTCTCTGCCCTATTTTCATTTGAAGAAGTGTGCTCGGACACACAAAAGTTTTTTAAAAAATTAGCTAGTCTCTTTCGTTGCAACCAAGTAGCATGGCTACCAGGTTGATGTTCCGTACTTTTAATGGCCATTGTACCTGTATGCCATACCTTTATATCTTACCTGTATGTCAGGATGAGGAGTCATTCAGAAAGTTAGTGGTGGCAATGCTAATTTAATACCAACAAGCAGAAGGACTTAAATGCAGACTTTTAAAAGTTAAGGGTTCAAATCCCTGGATGAATTACACTGTCTGTTTTGCTTTCCTCTCCATTCCCATGAAATCAATTTTAAAAATTATCATCATCATCCTGAATTTGCCAATTCTATAAATTCTATGTGAAAACAAAATAAAACAATAACAAAAATTGGTTGTTGTAGGTTTTTCTGGCTGTCTGGCCATGTTCTTGAGGTTTTTCTTCCTAATGTTTTGCCAGTCTCTGTGGCCTGCATCTTCAGAGGACAGCAGTCAGAACACGAGTCAGACTAGAGCACAGACAGTGTTCTGACTCCTGTCCTCTGAAGATGCTGGCCACAGACACCAGTGAAATGTTAGGAAGAAAAACCTCAAGAACACAGCCAGACAGCCCGAAAAACGTACAACAACCATTGGATCCTGGCCATGAAAGCCTTCAAGAATACATTAATAACCAAAATTCTCACACACCCATTGCCTGACGTTGCATAGAATTCTGTATCCAGAATTGTTCAATAGCATTTCCACAGTTGGGTTCAGCAGAGTACAAGTGACAAGAGCAGGGAAATTAACTTTATCTTGTCAGACTGAAACTCCCCAGGGCCAGATCCATCAGGCGGAAGATAACTGTATATCGTATTTCCCACCCCTTCTTCCAAAACCAAGGAAACCATTGGCTTTGTCTTGACTGCGTTATAACTAATCTGGCAGGAACTATTGAAAAACGTCTACATCCTCAGTTGGTAGCACGCACAGAAGGTAAAAGCATAACTATTGCTGATGGGATAGGGATGAAATTGTGTATGTCTCTGTGTGTGTGTATGTGTGTGAGAGAGAACAAGTTGAGACTAGGAAACATCAGTGGGAGATGAGTCTCATGGGGCAACTTATCAGGGTCTAAAATTCCTCCCCCAAATCTTGTTTACAATACAACCCTATTTCTGGGTGCAATCTTCATCATCTCTTCCTCTTCTCTAACTATTTGACAATGTGTGTTCATGTCAGTCATGCCGTGCTATATCAGATAAACAACCTTATGGTTTTCCTCTCCCATTAAACAAAGCATAAGAGTGTGTTCCAAGAGGACAGGATGCTAAATAATTGAAGAATATTGATCTTAAATTTGTGAAAGTAGACCAAGAGTATTTCCTGTGTGTTTCATAAGGAAATTTGCTGTGTTGCTGCCTATATATCCATAGTTGAAATCTAGGTGACGGCCTTCCATACTATATTTGTATTGAAATGTTTATATATTTGCACTTTTTGCATTAGTTATTTTATTCTTAGAGAGTTGCTTTTGTGTGATGTTTTATTAGTTTACCAGTGTAGTTTTATTATATGTTTACATTATGTTATTGTAAGCTGTCCAGAGTAGATGGATTGGATAAAAATTTAATCAACCAACCAACCAACCTTAACAGGAGTCACGAACACTAGCTGCTGAGCCAGTAATCAAACATAATAATTCATTTTTATAGTTATCTTTTGCAGAACAACTCCTCACTCTGAGATCCATTACTCTTCAATCATGTTTAAAATGAAAGTATTCAATGCCTTTTCTATTTTCTCACATGTTTTACATTTCTTTATTTAGCTACTTGTTAAATTTACATCCCACTTTTATTCCAGTGACCTTAAGTCTACATACATGGCTCTTACCCACCCCAACTTTATCTTCACAACAATCCTTTGAACTAGGTCAGGCCAAGAGAGTTTGACTGGCTGAAGTCTGCTAAGTGAAGTTCATAGCTGAGCTGGAATTTGAACTCAGGCTTCCTGAGTCCTATTCCAGCCATTACACTTCACTGGTTGTTTAAAAGACAGTGTCATATTTGTGCTTTGAAGTGTACGAACATGACTTTTACTTTAAATTATCAGAGGATTAAATTCTCGTGTAGACGATCAGTAGGGTACAATGATTTAGGGGCAGGTAGTGAAATGAAAGTCTGATGTTGGGAAAGTGTGAAGGCAAGAGGAGAAGGGGACGACAGAGGATGAGATGGTTCAACAGTGTCATCGAAGCGACCAACATGAATTTGACCCAACTCCAGGAGGCAGTGGAAGACAGGAGGGCCTGGCATGCTCTGGTCCATGGGGTCACAAAGAGTAGGACACGACTTAATAACTAAACAACAAGTGAAGTGAAGGTGCTTATTGTGACATTTCCAAAAATGTTCTCACTAAGGAGAATCCCAAAATGAAGATCAGTAAAGAAGTTCTAGTAGTTTTCTGATACACAGCTCTTACAAGAGAGAAAAACGGGAGGCATCTGCAGAAACTAGAGTGGTATGGAAAAGTTATATATTGTTTCATACATGAATGGTGGCTGATAAGATTACTCTTGCCCTGCTAAATTAACCATACAGTGGTAGCATTGGTTGTGCAACCTCGTGCAAGTAAGAACAACCTTGAAAGGTAAACAGAATGCATAAAAAGATAGCTTAGAAACACAGTTTTGAATTGGCTATAATGGACAGTTATCTATCAATGAAGACATTTTAATCATCAGCTGAGATGCAACCTGTTGTTAACGGTCAGATTGCTGTATTGCAGTCCAATAATAACAAGTTACAGTGACAGAAGCAAGATTAATCCTGTCATTTAATCCATTTATGATACATATTTGAAGTGCTATCTTTGTTTTGATGAAGTTACTATCTGCCCCAAATGACTCATAGGCTTCCATTAAACAGCAACCTTGCTCTGTATGGCAGGGAACATCTGTTATCTTTCAGCTCTCCCCTTGACACCTGTGCAACTCAAATATCCCCATAATCTTGTACCAACAGAGAGCAGCCCACTATTGACTTACTTAGTTGGCACTTTCTGGAGCCTTCCAAGAGGGGAAAGTGGGTTCTTCAACTAATTTTATATCTGTCTAATGCAGTTTCCCCTAAGCAATGCTTGGGATATATTTCTTTGATCCTTCCTTACAACAGGAAGGATGTAAAGGAAGTTGATATTGTTATCCTTACCTGGTATATGGGAAGAAGGCTGGAAGCGACAACCTGAAGCTTCTATGATGATTTAAAAGCCAATATGTGAAATCCAGTTGCAGTCGTTCCACAGTGTGCAAGGAAATGAAAAAGAGAAGTATGCTTCTAAACATGTCTAAATAGCTTGCTCTGAAGCTGAAAAGATGAGCCATATTGCTAAGGATTGTCAGACTGGCAGCACCCCATCCCTCAGATTTTAGGTCCAAAACTGAGACCTGAAGAATGGACACCAAAACCTGAATCCAGAGGCTGAAACCCAAGGCTAAGCAATTCTAAAAGCTATTCTTATTATTTATACAATCCTTGTATTGAATTTTTACATACTATTTTCCTATCTAACTTACTTTTCCTCTCCTGCTTTCTTCTTTAGCATCCGCTTTAGCTTCACTGACATCCTGAGGAACTGTTATGTTTCCCTGGTTCTCCAGGTGGGAAGACAAACATCAGGACAAGCATTTCTGGAAGAGGAGAAAACTGCTTCTTTAGAAATGGCTTTAAAACTGGACCGCCAGCTCCACCCATTCACATCAGAGAGCAGGATTCATGAGCTCAGCATGAAAGCAATGATTTGTTTCTTGTGCTTCCTTGCTTCCCAGCCCTTGCCTGCCCTGCTTCTGTGACATCACAAAGACCTGCCTTTGTGACATCACAGTGCTCTGTCTTCTTGACTTCAGCTTTTGAAACTGAAATTTCAAAGAATGGATGCTGTTGCCTGACAACCCAAACAGTATTCATGCAAACAGTACAATGGGAGCACCCTGAGTATTGTAGAACATTGTAATGAAGCCCCAAAAGGTTCCATTGTGCATAGCTGCCCCACACAGAAAAATAAGTGGCACCACCTCCTTTACCATGTTGAAGCACTCATAGAGGTGTGGGTGGTGGTGTCAGTGGCATTTCCTTGTGTATCATATCTGATGTTGATGGTTCTCGGAGCCAGGTATTATTCATACGGCTGCATTATGGAGGCATGTAGATATGGCTAAGAGAAAAAGTCCACTAGCAGAAGCTCAGAAGCAGCCATGGTTGGCTCAGGGGGTGCTGAGTGTGTGGTAGTAGTAGCCCCTCATCCTGGCTAATGGCTGGTTCAGACCCATTCACCAAGAGGACCAGAAAAGAGAGACATGAGATATAGGCCCTGGCAAGATGCTGCAGGCGAGGTGACATAACACACTGCAATGTCACAACATTAGATCTAGAGCTACTTCTGCATTAGCTGATTGTGCAGATGAGCACAAGAGAATTGGGGTAAGCGCTCCCATAATCCAGATGAAGCCTGATTCACCAGGCAGTATGAAAACTGAAAGCTGGAGAGGGGACACATTATATATATACTGCTCAGCATATTTGGTCACCTGCCTGGTGGTCTCTCTCTATATCTATATCTATATCTATCTATATATATCTATATATAACTATATCTATCTATCGATCGATCGATTGATCAATTGATCGATTGATTGATTGATTGACCACCAGGCAGGTGACCAAATATGCTGAGCAGTAACAGTAGTTGCCGCTGATCCTTCTAGTGCTTGCATTTTGTGCAGACTAACCTGATCTGTGGTTCAGATGACACTGAGGAATTTTTCTAGCCTCCTCATTGCCATTATTTCCACATTAAGTAAGGGCTCTGTGACATTTGCCCCTCATGGCCCCTGCCTGACTCCCCAAACACAGAGCATGCGAAGGCAAACCAATACTCCTTTTTACCCCGCTGCCACCAGATGATCACTAAATCAACATTAATTATGGAAGGATGAAGATGCAGTTCCAAACTTCACTGTCTTTCAAATAAAATTTGTTTATTGATTTCAGATGCCTGAATATTAATCTTAGGTAACTTCTATTATCATCAGTCTCAACCTTTTATTTGTCATAACAGTTCTTATTCATTCTTCACTCTAATCACACCTCAGATTTCCCGGACACCACACTCTCCATTCTCCACTCTCTCTCACTCTGACTGACTCTGACTGCTTCTCATTCTCTGACTCCGCCTCTTTTACATATCCCTCGGCTCCGCCTCTCAGCAACATTAGCCTACAACATGAATAATGCATGACTATTTAACATAAGAGGGAGAAAGCTACAGGCTCCTGTGGAAGGCTCACGTCTGACCCAAGGAAGATTTTTAAAAATCTACCCCATATTGTTCACCATTGCTGCCAGAACTTGTACAACGAGAAGGCTCATGAGTTGTGACCCTGTTTGTTCTCTCTCCTAACTGCAAATGCTAAAATGGGCCCAAATCCATGGATCTATCAGGCTCCCCATCCCCCGGTTGTAGTGTTCTTTCATTCTTCTTCCTCTCTTCATGGCAGTTGTTTGTTCACTGTTGATCTGCCAGGTTGGTTGCCAAATACTGTATATGTACAGTAAAGAAAACAGTTCCTTCCCTTACTCCTGGCTTCCTGGTGCATGGACATCATGCAAGCACAAAACATCTACATACACCTTTGTATAAAACCAGTGGGCCTGGCAACAGTTGAGAGAAGCAATGAGTGCCCAGGATTTAAATCTACTGCACGGAAACAAAAGTCATATTTTCCCCTCCTCCAGTGCAGTTCGTTCTTAGATTTATATCCCTGCCTGGAGAGCTACAATACCATCCCCCTAGATTTGAGTTAGCACCCTTGCTTCTGGGAATCTTGGTAGATAGCCTGTCAATTTTCAGTTCATTGGATCGCAAGTTACATGAACAATGCATGAACATTCTTCTTTCTGTGCTTGTTATCACTTCTCATAGCCCTGACATGATGATGTACTTTTGGGAACATTATTATTTTAAAAATGAAATAATGAAGTCCTGAAACTTAGACTTTCTACCATTTATAGATTTCAAGAGTAAGGAATATTTGACTGTTAAGATACTGGAACATCTCAAGAGACTTGGACTACAACTCCCATGATTTACTCATGACGCTGCTAAGGCTGATAGTAGCTACAGCTCACCAGTGTGCTGAGGACTGTACTTCCACACCACTCCTATGATGAGAAAAGTTTGCATATCTTAAACTCTGCAGAGGAAAGGGAGTGAAATGTTGTATCAATAACACCTTTTCCCTTCTATGCAACACCTTCTTCAAGACAAAATGAAGTTTTGTTAGAAAGTACACATTTCCTAAATGATTTTGAGGAAACTGCAATGTAACTTGAAATAGTAGACTCATCATCATTATGGAAATATGTCACTGAAGTTTAGAAGGAGGCAAATATTATTTTTCAAGATACTTTAGATTCCTTTGAATTTTTATTTTAGAAGTGTTATTGTTTTAAATTTACTTAATGTGAAAATATAATGTATATCAATCTTGAGAAATAAACAATAATGTAATCATTATGGTCTTCAGAGAGCTTGCATTGAAAAGCACTTTCTTCATACATTCCCATAATTTCCTATTTGATTTTTATTGAGTTATCTATTGGTTAGGAATGAAAGACTGTTCAAATCCCTATGATGATGCTGTCGGCTAACAGTATTAAACACAAATCAAAAGATCTACTACAGGAAGATCTCAATTTAGCAGGTTGGAAAACAGCCTGGTTTAGCTCAAACATTCAGAATTGATCTGATTTAACCTTGGTATACATAGGCATCCTTCAGTCTCAAGAGACCATGGTAATGTGCTCTGTATCGAGAAGTGTCCTCTCCAGAGCATGAAGCCTGGGTAAAGTAATATGGAGGATAGGCTGTTACCCAAGCAGCAGATCCCCCCTCTCCACGTTGCTGAAATGGTCCAATGGAAAGGCAAGAGCCAATACAACTGGTTCCAGCAATGTCACAGGAGTTGGCAGAACGACACAAACTGCCTTCGGGACTCCAGCTCCAGATTTTGCTCTAGGTTAACTCCTGAAGCCGTTTCCATGAGTGGATGTAGCCACAAGGCATTGGAGGTTTGAAATCAGAGTTTTCCTTCTCCTAGATGGGCTGCTTTCCATAGCTGAAGAGCCCCACCTACCCAGCCTGCTCTCTAATAGTGCAGAAGTATGATGCGACCCTTAAAATTTTCCTGCCTCCCAAACCCAGGCAATTCTAATTGGCTTTCCTATTTACCATATTAGGGTCCGAGATAGAATCAGAGAATTTGAGAATTTGAGAATTTGAGGGTCCTGGGACACCCTCATTTAAAATAGAAAGCCCCACCCCCAGGCCATGCGGTGGGGGAGATAAAAAAAAGCACAGCAAAATAAAAAAAACTCCTCAGCAAAATGTCCATGCAAGCATACCCGGCCTTCAGTCTCAGCTCAGCTTCCTAGGGAAGAGGGCCCAGGGTCCTGGGACACCCTCATTTAAAGTAAAAAGCCCCACCCCCTAGGTCCCACCCCCAGGCCATGCGGTGGGGGAGATAATGTGAATAAAGAGCTGGAAATCCAAATGTTTGTCTCATTGACTACAATTTGAAATTAAAAATTAAGAAACAACCCTCCCCCCTCCTTGTTTGACTTAAATGAATTTTGTTGTACTGCTCTAACAGTTAGGAAGTTTTTCCTGATATTCAACCAAAATCTGGCTTCCTTTTAACTTGAGCCTATTTTTGCATGTCCTGCACTCTGGGATGATCAAGAACAGATTCTGTCCCTACTCTGAATGATAGTCTTTCAAGTATTTGGAAAGTGTTATCATATCATCCCTCTGTCTTCTTTTGTCAGGGCTAAACATGCCCAGTTCTTTCAGTCTTTCCTCATAGGGTTTGGTTTCCAACCCCTTGATCATCCTTGTTGACCTCCTCTGAACTTGTTCCAATTTGTCAGCATCCTTCTTGAAGTGTGATGTCCAGAACTGGACACAATACACAAGATGAGGTCTAACCAGTGTTAAATAGAGGGGAATGAGTACCTCGTGGTATTTGGACACTATCCTTTTGCTAATGCAGCCTAAAATAGCATTGCCTTTTTTTGTAGCCACATCACACTGTTGGCTCATATTCAGCTTGTGATCTATGATGATTCCAAGATCTTTCTCACTCGTAGTATTGCTGAGTCAGTATGCCCCATCTTGTAACTGTATGGGGTTTTTTTTTCCTAGATGCATTACTTTGCACTTATCCCTGTTGGATTTCATTCTGTTATTTTCAGCCCAATTCTCAAGCCTATCCAGATCATTATGAATGTTGAACCAAACTCACTTTGTTTCAGTAGCCATCCAAACTGATCCAAAGGAGCTTCAGGTAGTAACTGAAATCTGATGTACTTCTCTCCATTAATGTTTTAAAGGTCTCTACAAACATATGCAAATCAGCTGCTAACGAATCTAGAGTCTTTGCAAATTCTAGTTTTATCTGACCTGTTCTGTAGCTTCTAGACTGTTTTGTGGATGAGAACTTGTCCACCATTTTTTACACTTCTCAAATGTTTTGACTCAATTCTAAGCTTTGAAAGCATTTTAAAATATAGATGAAATAAGAATGATAGAATAATAGAATGATAGAATTAAGAGGAACTGCAGGGGCCATCATTTCCAACTTGCCCAGCAGAGAAAATCAGAGCTGAAATATCCCTTACGGATGGACATCAAACTTCTTCTTTAAAAATCTCTATTGAGGAAGAACTCACTGCCACCTTCCAAGATAGTCTTT